ACAGATTCCTATTGAATGAAATCAGAACAGCAGCAGAATTCTATTGAGCAACAGTAACTGTGACTGCACCTTTACTCCAAAAATTATGATATTTAAAGCAGATTTGTTCTTCAGTTGCTATTTTGTGACTTACAGCTTCCACAAGCTCCGTTTCATCCTTGTCCTCTTCCTCCCTCTCCTCATCCTCATGTGTCTGTTCTGTCCCCTCCTCCTCTTCTCCTTCACCTTCTCTGAATTCCCCCTCAGCCACCAGGTAATTGCCCTGTGTGCCGAGGATCTTGCCCCAGAATCGACAGCGCAGGAGACACTGTGCGTCCACCAGCTGTTTCAAAGCCAGAAAGACTCTCTGCATCTCCTCTCTCCCCAGATCCACACCAGCTTGCTCAAAGAAGAACGCAAGTTCTGCAACATTCGGTAAAGGAGACTCCACCTGGAAATGATACAGAATACTGTATTACAGAAACTGTTGTATTTTACTAAACTGCCCATAGGAGGCACCACAACACTGGCCATCTACAGTTGTCCTGAAGTAAAAGTATTTGAACCTTAAAGATATAGTCCACCCAAATGTCTTTTACTCACCCTCATGTTGTTCCAAACCGTTAGGACTTTGGTCACTCTTTGAAACATAAATTACAATGTTTTTAATGAAACTCGAGTGGTCTCTGTCTCTCCATTGAACGTCCAGCTAAACAAAGCTTATAAGATCCAACATACAGTGTCATAAATTGAATCCATCTGAATTGAGCGGTTTAATCCAAGTCTTGTAAGGAGATATGATTGCTCTGTGATTAACAGATTTAATTTAGGGCTTTTATTTACAATGAAACAATGATCAACACACCTACATAGAACACATCTATCGTAAAGAGAGAAGCTCAAAGTTTCTATGTTTACCATATGTGATGCACTCTATGCATGTGTGTTTATATGTTAAAGGGGTCATATGATGCTTTTTTAAAGATCATTATTTTGTGTATTTGGTGTAACAGATTATGTTTACATGCTTTAATGTTCAAAAAACACATTATTTTTCAAATACTGTACATTATTGTAGGTCCTCTATGCCCCGCCTCTCTCAAACGCTTCGTTTTCTACAAAGTCCCTCCTTCCGACAAGCGCAGTCTGCTCTGATTGGACAGCTGACCCAGTGCATTGTGATTGGCCGAACACCGCAAGCACTCGTCGGAAATGTAACGCCCCTTACCATAATCGCGAGCTTCATCTTTCAAAATAAATGTAAAGACAGCCCGAAAGGGGAACAGAGTCGCGTGACAGACACAGTGGTATGTGTGCAGTACACAAGCCACGGTTAAGACAGCTGACTCCACTGTGATCTCTCTCTCTCTTTCTCTCTCTCTCTCACTCACGATCTTAAAGATTCCTAAATGCATCTACTTTCAGAAGGCCAAATAAAGTGCTTTTGCTTTCACCTAGAAACACACGCCTTCTTACTTTGCGGCATTATGCAAATATTTCCACATAGTGAGGTAGATATGTGGGGTCGTGTTAGAACGAGCCGTTTTAGGGGGGTGTGGCAGAGTTTCTTTGGATTTGAGACTTTAGTCTTTGCAACTTCAGGGATCTTATCTATGCACAATCAGCTTGTAACACTCCAAAGAGAAAGGAAAACTTGAAATCGCATCATATGACCCCTTTAATAAAAGCCTAAATAAAAATCAATTCATCATGTAAAGAAACTATCTCGTCACAAAACTTGAATTAAAGAGCTCAGTTTGTATGGATTCATTTATGACTTTATGACCTTTTTGGATCTTCTAAGTTAGGGTTACCTGGACTTTCAATGGAGGGACAGAAATCTCTCGGGTTTCATTAAAATATCTTAATTTGTGTTTTAAAGAATGACCACAGTCTTAAGGGTATGGAACGATATGGGTCAGTAAATTAAGACAGAATTTCCATTTGTGGATGAACCATCTCTTTAAGTCACTCCAAAATCTCTGAATATGATAGCATTAGATAAAGAAACATCAAATCAAGTTGCGTCTGTTGTAAAGAAAGGTAGCACAAGCACCCATTTAAGTATTTCACACACACAAAAAAGGTTTGTTGTTAGGTTTAAAGGTTGAAAAATAATAATAATAATAAAAAATTACATGGAGGAACAGGACCAACATACTCTCTTACCAAATCCTCCTCGTGATCACCTTCATCACCAGCCGCGCGCGTGAAGAGCGCCTTCTGTTGCTCGGCCAGGAACAGAGCTGCGGAGGAGGACGGACTGTCACGCAAGGTGTCCTGCTTCTCCTGAAGCATACTTCCTTTCAGCTCGCGACTCATGTCCTCTATCACATCGACTGCGTTCTCTGGACGCTCATCCATAACTTTGGTTAACAGTCGCACGAGGTGGTCATAGCTGGACGAAGAAGTTCAAGTGCATCAGGGGCCAGATGCATAAACTTAGCCACCATGTTAAGACTGTCACAAGTTTGACCAACTAGCAGTTGCCAAGGTGTATTCGGTCTTACTTTTCCAATACAAATGAGACCAATCTATCTTTCATAACTGAATGAAAAAAGTTATAAGAATTTTTTTTTAGATGACTAACTTTTTAAGACTAGTCTAAACAGTTTATGCAACCGGCCCCAGAAGTCAGGACATTTTAGTCCTTACAATTTTTTGCTAAACTGCCGCTGTGGAGGGACTCCTTGTACAACATTGTCGCACTGTTTGTAACCAATTTACGCCACGTTTTGTACATTTTTCCTCCAAACTTAAGCAATATCCTTATATTTTTGCAATAGCTTTTGTAAACTATAGCGAACACAATAAAAGCCGACTGGGAAACATCAAGGCAAGCGTCAAAAGAACGAAGCTAGATTTAATGCATTAACTGTGCAAAGATAAATGCAAGTTCGGGGCATGTTGTCATATGGTTTTTCAAGTGTTAATAAACAGCATGTTCCCATTGTGACAACACGCGTATCATAACTTACTTTTTTATTGGTAATGTGTATCGAGCTCGTACATGTTCATTGTCTTCCAATAAATGTCCTCTATATATGACCAGTTAAGATATATAACGGTGCTTTAATAATAACTTAAAAATAATACTTGGACTAGAATACTCTATGAGGCTAATGTGATGATGTACGTTACTTACAGGTTGAGGTTTGTTTTTGTGCTGTTCTTCATCATGAAAGCTTTAAAACGCGCCGCAGCCTGCAGCCTCTCATTGTTCACCGCTTCCTCGGTCATCTCCATTTTATTAAAACTTACAAACTGTCGCCGACTAATTCAATTTGTATATTTTTTCAGCCTTTATTGTTATGGCAAATCATCAAACCGGCTCAGCACAAAAGAGCACAGAAATCAGCGCATTACCCGCAGCTCACTTCCGTTGCTATGGACGCAGCTGTGTAACTACAACAAACTTGTTGCCTGGCAGCGTCTTTATTCTGAGGCTACTCAAAAATTACACTCAAGTGAAAGTACAGACACTCAGTGAAAAATTTACAAGTGTCTGGTCAAAAACATGCTCGAGTAAAAGTGAAAAAGTTCAAACTTTAAATTAAAGTATTAAGCTCAAGTATTAAAGAAATAATGTTCTTTTTAGCAGCATCATATGACCCCTTTAAAAAAGTACAAGTAACCTTTAAAAAAAAAAAAAAAAAGGAGATTCTTGTTTCACCATATTGAACCATCTTCTCAATGCAAAGTGAAATTGCTTAAAAATAAACGGCATAAAATGCAGACATACAAAGGTTTGATTAAAGGGAGAAAACAGAACGCAGTGGCAATGGCAAACACATCTATCTGCAACAACAATTAAAATGCAGCACAGTGGAACACAAAAAAATCCTTTACACCTTAATGCCATCCCATCTGTATACGAGTTTCTTTCTGCAGATGAACACGAACTAAGAGTTGTATAAAAAATTATCTTTCTGCATATAATGCAAGTGTACGGCAAAACTACACAAAGAGAAGACAACAGTAACCCATATAACCCCTACTGGAACAATTGGTGTGTGTAAGAAACATACAAAGACTAATAATACTTTTTTTTTTTTTCCATATGCACTAAAAATCTTTGTGTTGATCTGAAGAAAGTAATATACATCTGGGCATGAGGGTGAGTAAATGAGAGAATTTTAATTTTGGGGTGGAGTATCTCTTTAATGAACCAGATGTGATGCAGAGGGCAGAAATATATTCTAGACAGAATATAAGAAATTGTGTTGAATTAAAGATGAGTGACATAGAATCAAAACAGACAATATTGACTTTTTGAAAAAGCCACTTTTTTGTGTTGTCTACTTGACGCCCCTGGCTGTAACAATTATTCTTATTTTAATTGTTTAGTTGGGGCATTGAGTTTTTTTTCTCCAGCAAATATTGATATATTTTTTTTAAAACTAATTAGATTAATTAATGAGCAAATCATGTAATTATTTAGATTAAATAATAATTCACTGACAGTCCTACTTGTTACTCAATATATCATTATAACTTATCGACTCCCATGTAAGAACTTCACTAACCATGATTTACAATTAATTTAACACACGGTCATTCACTTTTTGGAGATTTTTGTAACATCTAATTTGAAAAGTAATCATGGCCATTAAACATGACGTGTATTTAAATTCTTATCACTGATTTTACTTGCACTCTGTCTTGTGCATTCAGCTAATATAGTACACAGACAGCTAATGGCTACATCACAACAGACAAAAATTATGAATAAATGATGAATAAACTTAGGTACCTTAATATGCTTCCTCACATTTGATGCCAAAGAAATGTTGAAGCTAGAAATTTGCCTGATGAAAGTTATATGCTTGATAAATAAAAACAAACCTCATTAGCGTGCATGTTTGAGTGTCCATGTACCATATTTAATGTGTAAGATCAAATAAAAATGCAAAAATGTAACGAGTACTTTTCAAGTTGAAATAAAATTGTAGTAAAAGTAGTCACTTTAAATGGTACTTGAATAAAGTTTACTCAAGTATTTTACACCCCTGCCAAATGCTGTCAAAATTAACATAATAACGAGAGATTGAAGTACAGAGACCAATGATTTGTTTCTCATTTTTACAGGTTGGAGATTGCATTTTATTCTAGAAATGAAAACATTGTGGCACATACAAATTCAACTTATTTTCCAAGTAATTTCAACGAGTCATAACCTTTAAAGAAACTAACCAAAATATTCCATTTCATTTTTACTTCTAACTTACAGATACATAGTACACTGAACAAAGCAACATAAAATGACACATCTTCTCAGAGTCAGTGCATTCATTCAGTCTTATTTCACATGGCATCAGTCCACACTGCTTTCTTCTGCTTCTGGAACCACATCCTCAGACTCATCTTTGGGTTGGTCAGGTGCATCCACAGGCATCGCAACTGACTCCTCCATGGGTTCGTCTGTCTTCTCTGAAATGGAATTGGACTGTGAAGCCTCCTCAGACACCTCTATCTGCTGAAGGTTAAAGTCATTAGTCAGCCAGTGCTGTTCACTCTTGTACTGGTCTGCACGGGTGCCATAAATAATGGTGATGATAATGTTTTACCTGCGATGCGGCTTCAGACGTGACCTCCAGAGCAGCATGGTCCGTCTCTCTCTGCTCCATGGGCTCTTCTTCTTCTTCTTCTTCCCTCCTGGCTGGGATCTGTTGTTGTTGTTGAGGTGGTGGTGGTTCAGTAAACACTATGGGAGTCGGGGCTGAAGGTTCTGCTTGTGATACTGGTGCAGGCATTGATATATGCTTTGGTACTGGCACCTTAATGAACATAAGTGGGCAAGACAGCATTTTATTGGTGGATTATCCAAAGTCATGAACATCCAACTAATTTCTGTAATGTTCGTTGTATTTTGTAGAGATCAACCGACATATAATAACCAGTTTAACTCTGATCATTAAAATGTAATTAGAATGTCATAACTCCAGTGTAAATGAAAGACTTCTCAATAGTGACATGTGTCAGACTTCTCCAGTCATTTAGTCAGCCTAAACAGTTCCTACACAATCGACTGCAAGCTTGCATTTACTTTTGAGTTCAATGTCCACATCTCCAAATGCAAATCAACAACCCATGAGTAGAATCATAAACCAAACCTACATTTTGTCTCCTTTTGATAATCTGTTACACTTGGATATTACATTTAGTCATTTAGTAGACGCTTTTATCCAAAGATAAATATAGATAAAGTAGAATTAAAATAGAATAGAAAGTGCTAGAGTTAGAGGGTCAAATAAAGGTGGAACAGATGTGTTTTTAGTCGTTTCTTGAAGATGGTTAAGGATTCAGCTGCTCAGATTGATTTGGGCAGGTCATTCCACCAGGAGGGAACAGTTAATGAAAAAGTCTGTGAAAGTGATTTTGTGCCTCTTTGAGATGGCACAATAATACACCGTTCACTTGCAGAACGCAAGCTTCTAGAGGGCACATAACTCTGAAGTAATGAATTTAGGTAAATGGGTGCAGAGCCAGTGGTGGTTTTGTAGGCAAACATTAATACCTTGAATTTAATGCGAGCAGCTACTGGTAGCCAGTGCAAATTGATGAACAGAGGTGTGACATGCGTTCTCTTCCGCTCATTAAAGATTAATCTTGCAGCGGCATTTTGGTTCTTTTAATTTAAAATCATCACAATTAAAAGAACCAAAGACTTAAACTACTTCAGTCTGTGTGCATTGAATTTATTTAATACACGAGTTTCACAATTTGAGTTGAATTACTGAAATAAATGAACTTTTTCCATGACATTCTAATTTATTGAGATGCACCTGTATATACATTGTTGATGGATATACATCACAAAAGAGAAGAAAAGATCTGTCGCTACTTCAGTTTCATCACAACATACCTCTCGCTCTTCTATTATTTCTGGATGATGAAGTTCAGCTTGTGGTTCTGGTTCTGGCTTCCTGCTGTTGGCCTCCAGAACGGCCATTATAGATGCTGGAATGTGGGCTTGCTACAGAAAAAAAATACTGTACATGTTTCATGTATCCTCTAAAACAATAATAATAACAATATACATAAATGTTTTTACATAACATTTATAAATATTATAATAAATATAAAATGAATAAAAAACTTATTTTATGTGGTTTTCAATTTTAGTTGAAGTTTTAGACATTTTATATTTTTGTTATTAACATTTATAAACGAATATTATAATATAATATAATATTAGTACATATTAATATTTTGAATATTAATATGTACTAATGTACTGACCTGCTTTTATTTTTATATTTTCTATTTGACTTCAAGTAAATTTTTTGTCATTTTAATATTTCAAATGTATTTTATTAACATTTCTCATTTTCATTAATATTTAGATTTTATCTCTGCTTCATTTTAATGAATTTAAACAGTTTTTAAGAGTTTCAGTTGACAATAACACAGGTGTACACCGTATATACAGATGACAGGTCTCACTGACCATTCATTTCCCAGATAACACCTATTTGGGACAAAACCTGCAAGTTTGTGATACGCACTTGGTGAGGGGTGAGGGAGTGAACGTGCTGTAGGAGAGGCTCCCTCATCTCCGGGCAGCGCTCAAACACACTAGCCAGTTGTGGTGGAGGCAGCTGGAGGAGAACGTTGTAGGACTGGGGTTTGGTGCGCTGGCAGCACTTTACAAAGCCCTCCCACACTTTAGGATACTTCCACACCTGTACAATCAGTCAGTCAGCAAAAGATTACAATGAGAGATGAGTATGATGAGATTATGTATGAGAACTTGCGTCGATAATGAGCAATGATACAGGGTTCGGTCCACTGACCTGTTTGAGAATGAGTCGGGCAAGGATGTTCATGACGAAACCGGCCAGGCGAGGGTACATAGAGAGGGACTGGATGACCGTACGCATCAGCAGTATGGGGAGAGGGGTCTGCTCCATCAGCTGCTGCATCACCACAGCCAGCACCTCGGAGGTGTACACGTTCTTCTCCCCAAAACACAGGTTAGTGGCTACAGAGGAAAAGAGAACAACATGAAGAGTGATGACAAAAAAAAAACTTAAACAGAATGACAAGGAAAGCAAAAGAGGCAGTGACAGATTCCCCACTATGTTGGAGCCATTTACATTTTGATTATTAATATATTTAATTAAATATAAATTACAATAAATTCAACTAATTAAACAGAGGCCACATATATATGTTAGGGCTGTGGATCAATTAAAATAAATGATAAAATCACATGGGTTTCTGTGCATTAATAGATTATTTTCACACTGAACCTCCAAATTAATGTGAAAATTACAAAAGGCAGTATTTGATATATTTTAAATGTAAAAAATGTTTTTTTTAAATGTTTTCTCTTTTTTCCCCTCAAATTCTAGGGATAAAATGAGTAATTATAACTAGGCCATATTAGTGTAAAAATGACTGAATACAAAAAAATATTTGTGTTTTTGTGTTTTTAAAGCGTCAAACAACAAATAGTCACCACTGTTTTTTTTTTTTACCAGTCTTAAAATCTATTTGCTCTGCTGAAAGAAAAAGATGCAAAAGGCTGGATGAAAGAATGTGAGATGGTACCTTTGATGATTGACTTCATGTCACACTTGGAGGAGTCAATGTTGTGTAAGGCGATGAGGAGCTCTCCAGGAGTGAGCGGAGACATGGAGGAACTGCCCTCACCTACAGAACAGACAAACAATTCAATTCACTAGAATTCTACTGATCTGAAGCAAACAATTACATTCAAACATTTTTTTTTTTATCAGTAGCAGCACACATGCACAAGAGAATAAGCAGGTATTACCATGTTGCGTGCCCAGCAGTCTGTTGAACACCTCCTTCACCACGATGGGATTGAGTTTGATGAGTTTGGGTAGAGCCTGGATCACCTCGTTCTGTTCAACACAATCAAGATACCAATATGAATGCAGTCTTCAAAGAGCCCTTCTCACCTTAAAGCTGTCTTTCAACCACCTTTAATCAAGCCATGCTAATTTTTTATTTAGGGGTCGATGTGATTAACATGTTAAAGTTAATTAATACAAATAACATCATTTTTCACTTAAGAAATAAAATATAAAGCAAGTAATTAGCAGTTTAGGCCTGGCATTCAATTATACTTAAATGATGACTAGTTATAATTAATTACTAATTTTATACCCAGAAAGTGGGAAAAAATCATAGAAGGCATCAATATCAGCAATACTTGCCTTCTTTGACATGACTTAATGAAGAGATGCCATTAAAAATATTAAAATATTCCAATTATTGAATTTATGTTGTTTCCACATTAATTTACGGATCCAATGTGAATATGTTTTAAATTTCAATGTTAGGTGCAATTAATTGTGATTAATTAAAGAAATCTGTGTGATTAATTAATTATTTTATTTTAAATATTTATTTTTAAGTAGGACAGATGACATGAGGCAAACCTTCTCCAGGCCATTGATCACTGGGATGAGGAAACGAACATCTGGCACTCGCTTATGATAAAGATCCCTCACTCTCTCCACCAGCTCAGGAGATGGAGGCACTGTGAACACGAAACAATCCACAAAGGCCAGCATTTACTATACAGAGATGCATATAGACACATTCACTTTCTCACACACACACACACACACACCTTTATCAGTGAGTATGTGCAGACAGCGAGTGACCAGCGTCTCCGCTCCTTTAGGACAGTCCTCCACCAGGAGCAGCAGGTCTGGAGAGCTCATTCCCATTCCTCTTATCTATAAAAACATTGATGAAAAAACTATTAAACCAAAACTATTAAAATTATCATAAATGAACTGTTTTAAATGCAATCACAATTAAGAGTTTTTTTTTCTTCTTTTAGTCCACATCTGTTAGTTGTGAAGCCAGTTTTATGCTAGTGTACAATGATGTTATTAACTCAAATTAAAATTAAATTTTTTTGTTAATTGACGTAAAGCTGCAATAAAATCAAAATATAGATAAACAAATAAATATAGATGAAGTACTGAAATAAAACTGAATAACTGAAGCTACATAATGATAGAAGCACATAAAACTAAAATGAAAATTCAAAGAATAAAAAACATAGCATTGATTTTAAAATAAATTCTAATTCAAAATATAAACAACTACATCAATAGTGTATAAATTTTACTAAAATAACACTGTAGTGTACACCTAAAACACTGACAAAATAAAATTTTAACAGATATATGCATTCAAAATAAAATAAAAACAAATGACACATTTTGTCCACAAATTTTTAGCCAACAAAAGAAATCAGAACGCTCCCTTTCCCAAAGCCACACACAAGGCACATGATGTGATTTAATTCCGTTCAGTTATCATGCTATTTTAGTACACATGACGTGTACACAAACAAATTAAATAAAAATAAGATGGAAAAAACTAGGGCTGCTCTCAACTAAAGATTTGTCTGGTCGACTAATAGTCGTTCATTTGAAACATTAGTCGTTTAATTGCACGTTTATTAATAAACAATTTAAATCATAATAATGAGCCTTTAATTGCCTACATTGCCTAATAAGCGCTCAAGCACACGTGTAAAGCTTGCCACAGCACACCGGCAGAAGAAATGAATGTGTCAGGGAAATACAGCAAAGAGGCTGCATTAACATTTTAATAATTCATTGATAAACTAGTGCTTTATTTGTTTTCGGTTTAAGAGATGAACTCGGCGACACTGACTCGTCATCTCCGCAGACTGGATGCGCCTGTATGCATGTTTCATACGGATTACATAATCTGAGAATATCTGTTTTCTAGGGGTGTAACGGTACACGTATTCGTACCGTATGGCTCACGGGGCAAATTCCAAATGGAAGTGATCATTCCTATCCCCTTGGAGTGGGGACTTTGGAGTGAGCAGGGAACGTGCGTGCCATTATGTAGTCGTTTGGAATGCACTTGGCAAAGGGAGCGATGTAATTTCCTAATTAAATATAATATAAATTATATGAATATAAATATATACATGTAAATATTTTCAAAATATATACTGTATGTGTGTGTATCTATATATACATACATAATAAATATACACAGTACACAAACATATATTATGTGAACAAAAACTTTTATTTTGGATGCGATTAATCGTTTGACAGCACTAATTCAAATTGAAATCAGTTATTTTAAATAATTTCACAATATTACTGTTTTTGCTGTATTTTAGTTCAAATAAATGCAGGCTTGGTGAGCAGAAGAGACTCAAATCTTACTGATCAAAACCTTTTGACTGTGTATTAAAACATTTTCTAAAGTGCCTAAATGTCAAAATTTGTTCAATATATTTGTTGAAAAATTCTAATACTGAACACACTATTGAATTATTAGGCTGTGACTCATTATTTTTGTGTTGCTGTCTCTAGCTCCCTCCCTCCCTGTACAATAAATCCATGTGAATATCTGTCTCTGCTAATTTTTTTTATGTAACTTTACAATCGATATAGATGTCCTTTAGCACAGTACTATTCTGAATGATGGTAATAATGGGGTGCTACTGATAGCCTAACAGATACTAGCAGTTTATTACTCAACTAGGTTAATAAAGACAAAATTATCTAGCGTATTTACAAATGAAACTGACCTGCATTTGAAGCCCTGAACAGGTCAGTGAGGTTGCTACATTTCACTGCTTCTTCTGGCCGCTTTCTCTCTTTCATCGAGTCCCGCACATCGGTTCTGTTCGGAACCGTTTGACGGAAGCACGGAACAGACGTGAGCTGATTCGTATAGTGCAGCGCTGCCAGTCAAGACTAACCAATATATGATTTATTATAGAATGTAATAATAATCACTTTGGTACATTGAGAAGGCATAAATATAAAATATAAATAACAATAAATAAATAAAAAAAACAGGGCAGTGGGCCAAATCAGCCGCCAGGCCACTGGAAATTCTCCCGGTGCTCCCGATGCCCAGTCCGGGCCCTTCAAAGGCATAGGGATGATCGCTTCCATTTAGAATTTGCCCCGTGAACCATATGGTAAGAATACGTGTACCTTTACACCCCTACTGTTTTCCATTTGAATTTTATATTTCACTCTCTATAGATATATTTTTCATGTCTGTAAGGCAAGGATACATGGAGTTTTGTAGTTTAGCGCTCAAGTTCACAGAGACTGAGACGACAGAAAACGCTGTCTGCTTTCATTATTTTACAATAATGCAATGTTTTGTTGTTATTGTGAGTACACACAAATAAACATAGTCTTTACAGATTCGAAAGATGACAGAGTGTTTTAAGAGCAAGTAGCCGAACCGGCGCCTCTGTCACGCCTCTTCTGGTCAACTAATGGTTAGTCGACAATTAAGGGGCAGCCCTAGAAAAAACCTGTTTGAAAAAATTAAGTTTTGGATGAGAGGCATTAGTGGAAGAGAAGGTCTTACTGGCTGTTCAATGACCCTGAGCACACTGCGTTTGATGTCGGCGATGGCCTCGGTGTAGACGGCAGCCAACTCGTGCACCAGACAATGGTTGAGGGGAAGGAGGGAGAGATAGAGGTAAAGACACTGCCGCACTGTCTCCTCTGTCCAGGGAGCAGCCACCTCTGAAAACAGATGAAGGATGGAACAAAGTCAACAATGTTTTAGGGCACAGTACACCAGTGAGTTCATTTTACACTACTTTATCATAGTATCAAGTTACTTTCTAAATTAAAGTATATTTAATACACAAGTATGAGCAAATAGACCATAACCCTACTCAATTATAATCGCTGCAAGACTAATCTTTAATGAGCCGAAAAGAATGCATGTCACACCTCTGTTCATCAATTTGCACTGGCTACCAGTAGCTGCTCGCATTAAATTCAAGGCATTAATGTTTGCCTACAAAACCACCACTGGCTCTGCACCCATTTACCTAAATTCATTACTTCAGAGTTATGTGCCCTCTAGAAGCTTGCGTTCTGCAAGTGAACGGTGTATTATTGTGCCATCTCAAAGAGGCACAAAATCACTTTCACAGACTTTTTCATTAACTGTTCCCTCCTGGTGGAATGACCTGCCCAAATCAATCCGAGCAGCTGAATCCTTAACGATCTTCAAGAAACGACTAAAAACACATCTGTTCCCCCTTTATTTGACCCTCTAACTCTAGCACTTTCTATTCTATTTTAATTCTACTTTATATTTATCTTTTTTTATTCTTTATTTAAAAAAAAAATAATTACACATTATGCAACTTTAGCCTAAATGTTACCCATTCAAAGATAAATGCAGTACAATTCATGACAGGCTCTGCCAAACTGGAGTTTGAGAGTTAACTATAAGCTAATAATTAAATTAAATATAAAAATGAAAATAAATTTAAAAAAAAAATACTAAAAAGATTAAATATTTGTTTACTTGCATGTCACGTGACCATTTACCAACAGAGAATCATTAACATGCAAATGTGTTAAATTACTGAAATATTAACTGAGAAGAGGACTTTAAATAAGCATTTTAGGTCAAAGGGATTCAGGTGATAAAAAGGCTCTCCTAATGTATGAGCACTCATATCTGCAAGCGAAAAAAAAATTGCACCTTTATCATTCTGATGAATTATTTTAATTCACTGATTGTATCATGTTGATGAATAATCTGTGGTGTTATGAGGTGATTCTCACCCATCCCTCTGCTCAGGTTTCTCCTGCAGGCCGGACAGCAGTGTGAACAGACAGTGCTCATAGCTGTCCAGAGAACCCGAGGGCTGCTGACTCAGGTATTCATTGTACTCATGGAACAGCAGAGAAAAGGCCAGCTCACTTCTGCCCCGCATATCCTCCAAAATAAACTGCAACAAGTCATTTTTCTTCCCATCCTCAAACTGGGTCACCAACCGTGCAAGCAACTTCACACGGACCTGGGAAAAGATTAAAACATCTTAGAAGAACGGATAGAGTGACTGAGGTAGCAAGCACCCAAAATGGGACTCACATGGGACATCCCACTCTGTGCAATGGCCTTTTCTGATTGAAGGATCCGCTTGATGGCCATGTTGGCGAGTTTCTCGATCTGAGCCTCTGAGAAAGGCTGCACCACGTCAGCCAATTTGAACACTTTTTTTCTGCCACTGGCCCCAGGAGCTCTGAATGAGGGTTAATGGGGAGAAAAAAAAGAGACAATCTATCCAGCTAGATGATTAAAACTAGAAACAACACACAAATACAACATTGCTGCTGCTCCCATTAGGGGTCGCCACAGCAAAATTATTCGTGGGTAGTCTTCCCACTTTTCCTCGCTTTTAAATAGCTTGTAAATACATGTGCGCATTTTACTTTCACTTTCGAATTAGCGGCAGTTCGGCGTTAATTGATTGAATGGACAACAACAAAACAGTACAGCAAACTCACTTATTAAACATTGAACATTTTTCTTATTAACAAAACAAATAAAAAACACCATGCTATAGGCCTAATATAAAATGACAAATAACTTACACAGTTATTTGTTAAGTTTAAATATAAAAAAACGGAAAATCAGCCAACACGGCGGAACCAAATAAATAAGAAACAAATGTTTAAAAAAACTTCCAAAATCACCTTAGATAAACGGCAAAAGCCAACAGGCTTTTCAAAATCCTAAATATTTTTAAAACAGGTGCTTTTGCATTTTGTTTCAAAACCAAATCTTCCGCCATCGTCTTGTCTTTCTCACCTCACTCTTCTTGTCAGTCAGCTCGACTCACTCTCCTCACGTGATAACAGTGAGATCGATGGATGATTGGGTGCCAGCAGAGGAGGATGGTTTTGGGGTGATGACTGGAGCTGGTTCTTCCTTATCATCATCATCCTCCACTAGAGTGGCCTCTGCAAGCACAAACAAGGCATTATTCCTCATCAATCAATCAATGCCAACAACTGACCCACAACAATGACCCACCCAGCTCATTAAAACAGTAACAGCAACTCACCCATCTTGATCCTCTTGCCCTCAACGTAGGGCTCATGGTGGAGTCTCTTACGGGGCTGTACCGTGGCTGGCGTGCAGCGGGTGATCTCGCTCTGAGACATACCAAGATCCAGCAGCAGAGTGGAAATCTGGCCCTGGAAGTCCACGCTGCTGGGGTGCTTCAGCACCGAAACCAAATGCAGCTTCAGGTTCTTGCGCACACTGCTCACTTGAGACTTAGCCAGAGTCGGGGGCAAGTTAGCTGGGGAGCAAAACAAAAAAAGAAACTAGTAGATTTGTGTTTGACTCTGAATAATGTCAGCGGAGGGAACTCACCATGTAGCGTCTCATATGCCTGCACCACCTCAGACATGAACATGGGCCGCTGTCTGGCCAGCGTAGCCAGTGATCCAAGTGCAGTGGTGAGATTAATGCTGGAGATGGCAGGGTGCACCATAAACTTTAACAACTGCTCCAGAGCCAACTTTCCCTCCTCACACAAGGTGTCTTAGAGCAGGACAGGAGGAAGTGAAGAAGACAAGGAGAGAAGAAATGGAAGCAAAAATAAAGAATGAAAATGTTTCTGTTAAACTTTTAAAAGTCTTGACATTAGGGCAGTACACTTTTTTTTGGAGGGGTGGATGGAGTCCAAAAAAAAGTGATTTTTCTGATAAAAAAATAAATAAAATTCCAGGTTTGCTGTGCTTGGCTGCTAAATTTGTCATTTTTGTTATTATACATCAATATGACTATTAAATAAAAAATAATACTATTAATAATGATTATTATTTTTTTATTGTTACTAAATAAAAACATTAAACAAAATATGAAAAATTACCATTTCAATATTTAAGTGTAATAAAAAAAATCTAATAAAAAAAAAGTTACACTTTATTTTAAGATGTCCTTGTTACAGTGTAATTATACATTTAAGTATAGAGTGATATTAATTAACTACATGTACTTACTATATGGTTAGGGTTAGGGTTTGGGTTTGGCTTAGGGTTACTTGCATGTAATTATGCATAATTTATTGTCATTATAATAGTAAGTGCATGTAACGTGTAACAAGGACACCTTAAAATAAAGCGTTACCAAAAAATAAAAAAGTATTTAAGATATATATATATATATATATATATATATATATATGTGGTCTTTGTGGATTTCATCCAGTCTGCAAAATTTGGACAAAATGTGTGATTACTTATTAATGTGACAATTAAATAGCAATAATAATAGTAATTATTCTTATTATTAATTATAATATTACTATTGCAGTTTCACTGAAAAACATTAAAAATCAAGTAGTTTAGAAAAACAATATAATAATTTTATTTAGAGTACAGCTGTAAAACTACAATGCTAATATTTTTACATGTCCATTTACAACCTTAGGATTTGTCTCTAGAATTAAATGGTCTGTTTTTATTTGGAAGGGTCATGAATAATAATGTTCAGCTCTGCTCTGATTGGCTGTTTCACAGTGCAGCTCATTTCAGTAGCTCACACAGCAGGAAGGAAACCATATATATTTCAAAATATATATTTCAATACTTTCTCTCGCAGTTATATCGTTGGGTAATTATACTGTATATAAAATGCGGACATCAGGGAGCATTGAAACTGTTTTCGAATGCACGATCGAGTTTTACTTTCAAGATTTGCAGTCACACATAGCTCCATGTAAACTACAGCGGCAGTACTTACCACACATTTTACAAGAACGGATGCTTGTCAGTAGTGCTCAGGATCTGTAAATCATTCGCCATCATCCTCAGTCATCTCTCCTTACTCTGTTTATGTGGTAAGTGAAATCTTATGTACTGTAATGTAACAGGCTACTGCTAGCAAGCAGCTAACATGTCCTTTTAGTGGCTCTTTATTTGTTTTCCGTGCAGCATTTACAGTAAACTGAGCCACTCTGAGGCACTGAAAATACTGATTCAAGAGATGCGTGCGTGCTGCACTTCACTCAAACATGCAGCATATATTTATTTAATTAAATCGATAATCATATTGCAAGCCATATTGTTATTTTGGTATTATTTTGATAAATTTTGT